TATATATATATATATATATCTCGTATACTTGTTATTGTGTGCCATCAAGTCTGTTCCGACTCATAGCGACCCTGTACAGGGTTTCCAAGAGTAGCTGGTAGGTTTGAACTACTGACCTTTCGGTTATCAGTCAGCACCACAGTAAGGCTCCCTTGGTATACTTGACAAAGGGGGGGAAGACATGAAACTCTGGTACCAGTGTCTTGTGCCCTGATAAAATATGGAAGCCAGTATTCCCAAGTGTCCCTCGGGCACCCTGGAGATTTTATACAATGTGTGATGGAAAAATCCCAGATAGGGGTGTTGGGGTCGGGAGAGCATGCTTGAGTTTTCCAGCAGGAGAGGGGCATATGGGAATGGGGATCTTATAGGAACGTGCAGCCTGCTCGTGGATGGGTCATTTTAGGAAGAACAACATGTGGAGGTTGTCTGGTCTGGAAACAGAGTCATAGACTCTCCATTGAAAGTGTTCATGTTCCCTCATGGAGGGAGGGGGGTGGTGGTATGCTCACCCTGAAGATCGAACTCTTAGGTCAGAGTTGTCTCAGCCAAAATGTTTTCCAGAGTGCCCCAAGTCTTAACACCAAAGGAGGAGGAGGAAGAGACCTTTTCTGGGCCCCTCTCACCCCCAGACTTTCTCCCTCAAAACCTGACTTCACTTCTCCACCATGAGCCTGATACAGCAGTGGGGAGCAGGGGGGTGGGTGGTGTTCTGCTGGAGGAGAGGGCAAGAGGATAACGCACAGGGTAGGTTTTAGGTTTGGAGTGTCCTTACTTTACAAGTACAGAGTAGCAGACAGAAGCCTTTGAAATTGGGTGAGATTCAAGAGGTGTGTCCTGCTAGGGCCAGGACTAAGGTGAAAGTGGAGAGCTACCTAGGGCACAACTTTTAAGGAGGCATTGCAACTGCAGGGTTGGCCTTAAAAAAGCAGCAACAATGGGCTCAAGTGTAGCAACGGTTGTGAGATTGGCACACAGTATTTTATTGTGCCTCCTTAAATGTTGAGCCCTAACTTGCCTTTCTTGCTTCACCCTAAGTCTGACCTTCCTCAAATTCCATTTCCACTGTGAGCTTTGTGGGTATGTTCATGAACTTCTCCAAGCCTCAGTTTCTTCACCTTTCAAATGGGCTTGAATATCTACTTTTCAGAGTTGGCAGGGACAATAGAGAACTTTGGTACCACCAGTTCCTTATATTGTTGTTGCTGTGTGGTGCCATCGAGTTGGTTCCAACTCATAGCAACCCTGTAAAGGATTTCCGAGGAGCGGCTGGTGAGTCTGAACCAACTTTGTGACCCAGTGCTTATCCTATGGTGCCACACCAGCACTCCAGTGGAGATTCAATAAATAGCAACTCCTGAGCCCTCTTCAGACATTACTTAAAGTAGTTAAATGGCCGTAAGCAACCAGCACCAGTGTTCGGTTTTACAAAAGGGGCTATATATATTTCAGTAAAACTTGGCTCATTTGGGGAGCCTCATCCTTGACTCTCAATTTCATAGTGCCAACCCACTGTCAATGCTGTTCCTGCTATACAGACCCTGGGGTAAAGAGTGGGTTGATGAGCCCAGGATGGGGTACGGGCAGGGATAAGATGTCTGCCTGTCAGATGCAGCTGGGCTCACCTTTGCTTTGGCAGACACTGTGCGTTAGCAGAACCTCCACCCCCTCAGCTGCCATGAAGATCATTTCTCCCAGAGATTTTGTGGACTTGGTGCTCATCAGAAAATACGAGGATGGGACCATCAGCACGAATGGTGAGCAATGCGGAGCTGCTGCTTAGGTTTGGGGGACACTGGGCTCTCAGCGGACACTGGGCTTCCTCAGTTACCAGAGGAAAGTGCTCCCAGGGCCCTGCTTCTGTTCTGCACCCTTGGTGGCATTTGGGGGGATTCTGTGCCACAGGGGTCTGAGGTGGAAGAGTCACCATGTAGTCACCTCATCTTAAAAGTCTTAGTTTGTATCATTTTACCTTTTGAAATGTCGGCTGAGGCTCAGAGTTTGCACTTGCAGGTTTGAGTTGGACTTCACACAAGCTCAGGATGAAGCAATTTGGGGAACCCATGGGAGTGGGGTGCTGTCGTGGGAGGACTGTGATGCTGTTCCTTTTCCTCAGAGAGGAGCAGAGTTCCTGCCATGGGCCTTTTACACTACCTCCTCCTGAGAACGTATTTCTCTGAGTCTCCATGTTGTGGTAGACAGCTCTGTTGGCTGTGATTTGAGAGGAGGCATCTTCCTCCGCCAACCCATCCCCAAGCCTTAACTTAACAGCATTATAGTGTAGTGGTTATGAGTTGGGCTGCTAACCTCAAGGTCAGCAGTTCAAAACTAGCAGTCATTCAACGGGAGAAAGATGAGGCTTTTTCTCCTGTAAAGATTTACAGCTTCAGAAAACATCTGCAGGGTCGTTATGAGTCAGAACCGACTCCATAGCACATCACCAACAACCACCACAACCAGTATCCGGGCAGGCTTGGTGAAGCCAGGTGTGTGAGTGTGTATGAGTGAGCATGTGATTATAGGGTTGAATGTGTGTGTGTGTGAGTTTTGTATGGATGAATATGTGAGTGTGTACGTATGTTAGTGCTCATGTGTGCATACATATGTATGAATGAGTCTTATGAATGAGTGCATGTGAGTATGTGCTGGGTGAGTGTGTGTATGAGTTTGTATGTGTATGAGTTTGTATGTGTGTGGATGAGTGGATGAGTTTGCAAGTGTGTGGATGAGTTTTTGTGTGTGCATAGTTTATGTGTGTGCATGAGTGTATGAGTTTGTATGTGTGTGTATATGATCTTGTATACATGCATGACAGGGCTTCAGAAAATTCATGAAAAAGTGGAATTCAAAGAATGGAATTTTCCATGACATTTTTTAAGCCCCCTCATATGTGGTTAGATCTATAAGAGTGTGTGTGTCTATGAGTGTGTATGAGCATGTGTTGGGTGATTGTGTATGCGTGTGTATGTGTACAGTTGTAAGTGACATTGGGTAGACAGCGTGTAGGAAGGAACTCAGTGTCAAGTAATAATCTCTTTGTTGACTCCCCCGCCCCAGGTATTTGGGTCTGCATGCACTATGGGTGCCCAACACAAGACAGTTCTGTGGCCATGGCCTGACTGTCTATAGTTCTAGTTCACTGACCATTTTCTCTGTCTTCCAGCTACCCATGTTGACTATCCGTTATGCCCTCCGAAATCCGGTTATGTGAGAGGATTTAACCACCCTTGTGGCTGCTTCTGTGAACCTCTGCCAGGGTAAGACTAATATTCTAAATTGAATGACGTTCCTCATGCTAAGCTGTAATCGCGCCATTACCACGGGCACATCAATTGGCAGTCACAGGAATAAAAATGTCCCACAGCTCTTTAGACCTTGATGCTGTATAATAGAATAGCATTCACATCAGTGACATAATACATGACACGTGAAAAAACCTGCTGCCACTGAGTCAATTCCTCATCATAGTGACAGGTAGGACTCAGTGGGACTGTCCCATAAGGTTCTGAAGGCTCTACATTTGAGGTGCGACTGGTGGGTTCAACCTTTCAGTTTAACAGCAGAGCACTTAACTGCTTCACCACCCAAACCCACTGCCACCAGGCAATTCCAACTCACAGTGATCCTGAATGTTGTTATTAGGTACAGTCAAGTCAGTACTAACTCTTAGTGACCTTATGCACAACAGAGTGAACTACTGTGTGCCGATCTCACAATTGTTGCTTCACTTGAGCCCACTGTTGGTGCCATTGTGCCAATATATCTTGTTAGGGGGTCTTCCTCTTTTTGGCTGACCCTCTATTTTACCAAGCATGATGTCCTTCTTGAGGGATTGGTCCCTCCTAATAATAAATCTGAAGTATGAGAGACAAAGTCTGGCCATCCTGAATAGGGTTTCCTGTATAACTGACTAAATCATTATGGAAGCAAAGAGCCTCAACTTTCTCCTGTGAATCAACTGGTGGGTTTGAACAGCCAACCTTTCAGTTAAAGCCCAATGCTTAACTCACTGTACCACAGTAGTTTTGAACTGCTGACCTTGAAATACCTTCTAATACATGACTGTTGTTGTTAAGTGCCATCAAGTCAGTTCCATCTCAGAGTGACCCTGTATGGGGTTACCAGGGAGCAGCTGGTGGGTTCGAACTGCAAACTCGGTGATTGCTGATCCTATAGCACTGCCCCAGGAGTCCCACACTAGAAATCAGTACTTGGCAAATGGAAAATAATTGTGGGAAGACACAAATGGATTTGAAAAATTCCTTCCTCCAGCTTCCTAAATCAGCTAGGGCAGGTGTCACCGAGCAAACGAGGAAACTGAGGCTCTCTGTTCAGGGTCAAAGGCTGGGAGATTGCCAAAGCATGGCCTGGGTCCCAGGTATTCTCTCAGGTGCTCTTTGAGCATGATCCACCAGTCTGGAGCAGCTGAAGGAGAGAGGATCGTTGTCCCCACCCCATGTTCCAGCCAATGCTCATCACCTCAGACAAGGAATGGGTCAAAGTGCCCAGGCACTGAAGAGTGATAAGAGGCCCCGCCATGAGCCAGCAGCAGAACTGAGTACGGGGACGGGTCAGTTCCCATTTTCCCACAGTCATGGCTGGGTGTTAGCAGGAGCTTTTTGTACAGTTTGAATCACTAGTGGACCCTGGGAGCCACCCAGGTGAACAGTGAAAGGAATAAAACCTGAAGGGATGCAACCTTGGAGTTCCTGTACATCTACTAGGGTGGGAAGAGCTGTGTCCTCCATACATAACCCCAGGAGATGGGCCTTGGTGCTGTAACATTTTCCTAATCAGCCAGACCCAGCACCTCTGTGCCACACTAAGCATCTCTGAAAAGATGGTTCTTAAACATAGCAACATTTTATGCATTTGAAAATACCATCATGGGCTCCATCTCACATACACACATACTCTTGCATCCAATTTTTGTTCCTCAGACACAGGAATGTCACTTCCCCGATGACTTGGGTTGAGGGCACTGGCCTCTGCCTCCGTCTCTTCTTCTCCTACCTGGAAAACCAGGTGTTGGGACCCACCCTCCTGTGATTCAGATCCCATGATTCGGATGGAGAGTGGTTTTCAGACTAAGAGGCAGAGCTCCTTCTTCCCGGAGGCTAATTTCTGTGGCTGTCTCATTTGTAGGTCATGCACCGCGCTATGAAACTCACCTCTCATGCCAGGTAGCAAAGAGGATTGTGTGAATTTTGCAGGTGGAGTGATTAGGGTCAGGGGTTTCTGCCAATCCCAGCTAGTGTGCAGGTTTTGCCACAAGGCTTGCTCTTCCAGCTCTCAGCAGCTGGATGAAAAGTGCCTTCTGTCCCCACGAAAGCCTGATGTTGAATCCTGCCATATGCAGAGCTCTTCTCATAAGACGTTGGATGTGAAACCCACCGAGGTAAGAATTCCTTATTTTACAAATTCAATCTTGTTCCACGCCCTCTGATCTAACAGCTGCTGCAGCAGACCCATTGTTGTTGTGGTTGTTAAGTGCCGTCGAGTCGGTTCCGACCCATAGCGACCCTGTACAGGGTTTCCGAGGGTGTAAATCTTTACGGGAGTAGAAAGCCTCATCTTTCTCCCGTGGAGCGGCTGGTAGTTTCGAACCGCTGACCTTAAGGTTCGCAGCCCGATTCATAACCACTACTCTACCAGAGCAGCAGACCCATAGTGCTACTCTATTTACCTGACATAAATGTGCTTATGCTTACTCAGTCAACAACCCTCAGGTGCTGTTTTATTCTCATAGTTTAGATCAGGAAATTGGAGCCCAGAGAGCTTAAATAGAATGCCCAAGGTCACATGGTTGTTGTTAAGTGCTGTCCAGTTGGTTCTGACTCATAACAACCATGTCCAGGATTTCTGACAAGTGGCTCGTGGGTTTGAACCACCAACCTTGTGGTTCAAACTGACCTTGCAGTCCAGTGCATTATCCTTCAGTGTTATACCAGGACTCCAAGATCACATGGTTTGGACATAATCAAGCCAGAATTTAAATCCAGGCACCTATCATTAGGTATTTTCAATAACCTCCTATGGATTTGAAAGCTGGACAGTGAATAAGGAAGGCCGTAGAAGAATTGATGCCTTTGAATTATGGTATTGGAGGAGAATATTGAAAGTGCCATGAGCTGCCAAAAGAACCAGTAGATCTGTTTTGGGAGAAGTGCAGCCAGAGTGCTCCGTAGAGGCCAAGATGGCCAAACTTCGTCTCCCATACTTCGGACATATTGTCAGGAGGGAACAGTCGTTGGAGAAGGATGTCATGCTTGGTAAGATGGAGGATCAGAGAAAAAGAGGAAGACCCCCAACGAGATGGATTGGCCAAGTGGCATCATTGATGGACTCAAGTGTGGCAACAATAGTGAGGTTGGCCCAGGATCGGACATTGTTTCGTTCTGCTGTGCATGGGGTCGCTATGAGTCAGTACTGACTCAATGGCACCTAACAACAACAACAACAATCATTATAACCTGGAGTCCTGGTGTGGCGCTGTGGGTTAATGCACCAGACTGTAAAGCCGTTTGAACTGCAAAGTCAGCAGTCCAAGCTCACCAGCTGCTCCTCGGAAACCCTAGACAGGGTGGCTATGGGTTGGAACTGACTTGACGGCACTTCACAGCAACATCATTAGAACCTATGCTCCTAATCCATATATTGGAAGACACTCTTGTCTTGATGAGACTTGTCTCATGAACTCTGGATGTGTTGTTAGGCAGGACCAGTCCCCGGAGAAGGACATCATGCATGGTAAAGTAGAGAGTTGACGAAACAGGGAAACCCCCAGTGAGATGAACTGATACACTGACAGCAACAGTGACACAAATATAACGGCTGTGAGGATGGCACAGGACTGGGCAGTTTCCTTCTCGTGCACAGGGTCGCTATGCGTTGTAGCCGACTTAGGCACCTAACAACAACCATCCATATACAGACTTCTCAAAACAGATAAACGTTTCTTGGAGTTTAGGCTCTAGTGTGAGCAGTGGGAGACAGGCAAAAGAAAACACACAAGAAATATCAGATTTTTGTAATGATCAGATCGTCGTAATGATCAGATGTTGGTAAGTGCTTTGGAGAAAACTACAGTCAGATGCAGATGCCAGGGAAAGTGGTAGTGATGGTGTGCCGTGGAGTCGGTTCCGACTCATAGCGACCCTGTATAGAGTTTCCGAGGCTGTAAATCCTTACAAGATCAGAAAGCCTCATTTTTCTCCCGTGGAACAGCTGCTAGATTCGAATTTCTGACCTTGAAGTTAGCAACCCAACTGGTAACCACTATGCTATCAAAAGTGACTATATAGGAGTCAGCAAAAGCCTCACTGGTAGATGACATTTGAAAAAAGGGCTAAATCGGGGCTGTGGCTTATTTGAAGGTGTGTTCCTAGCATACAGCTGCGCAGCTCCAAACTCCCTGAAGTGAGAACATTACAAGTCAGCACAGAGGCTGTGTGGCTAGAACAGATGAGCAAAGACGAGGGTATTTTCCCCTCGATTAGATAGGAAGCTGTTGGGAGTTTTGGGCAAGTGGGATGTGCTCTGGTTTCAGTTTTCACAGGACCACATTGGGTGCTGTGATGAATCTAGAATGTAAGGGACAAAGGGACAAATGGGGGATTCACGGTGCTCTGGGTGAGAGATGGTGTTGCTCTGGGTCACAGCGGCTCAGGGTTGTTGGTTGTTACTTCTCAGGTGGTGGTTATGTGCTATGGTGTTGGTTGTGACTCCTGGGGACCCTGGATCCTGTGTAGAACTTCTGAAGCTGATTTGGGGTTGTTTTCAAGGTGGAGGAGTCTGTTTGAAGTGGAAGCGCTCTTGGCTATCTGCTTCTGTAAAGATTCCGGCCAAGAAAATCCCACAGAGCAGTTCTACTCTGTAACGCATGGGCTTGCTGCGAGTCTGAATCAGTTTTGACAACAAGGGGTTTGGTTATTGGCTCTCTGTGCACAGGAAGTGTAAGTACATTACACTTGTCATCTTAATCTGTCCTTAAGACACACTGTTAGTGGGCCTCCTGATCCCAGCCTACTTTATGAGGAGACCAGGTAACTTGTACCACCACCTCTCTCAGCCCGCTTTTCTCACTCGGCTGAGGTTCCATAACTATTGTTGTTAAGTGTTGTCCACTCACAATTTCCAAGAAGCAGCTGGTGAGTTTGAACCACTGACCTTGTAGTCCAGTGCATTATCTCACAGCGCTGCACCAGGACTCCATGTCCCACAATGCTGTGCACTAGCAGCCTTCATTACTGTTGCCACTCTGTAATCTGTTGAGTTTGCCTTCATTACTGTTGCCACTCTGTAATCTGTTGAGTTTGC